CTTAAACCCGAAATAATATTTAACTAGGGACATTTAGAATACATTATTCTAAGGTTATTTATTATGAATAATTAAAACACATAATATAATATATACATAATAAAATGGGCAATGCCTTTATATTTATCAATTTCATGAAACAAACTCAAAGTTACAATCATCATATGATTGGTTTTTGGGCATTCACTAACATTTACTTTATCTGTGCGATTCAAATGGTCTATTTGGCTTTCATTTGTTATGATTAAGCCAATTTGTTACCAAAATGTTCATTAGGTCTAGAGATGCACATGAACATTGACATCAAATAGGGGATCAACAATTCAAGGACCGGTTATGGGTCTAGTCCAAGCCCTTTGGTCAAATCACATAAACGTTTCGGACAAATGACTGATCATTCAAAAGTTCGGTTCAACGGTTAACCCTGGTCAAAGCACAAACAATGTCTGGTGTATGCATTACAAAGAAAACAGACCCAGTTAGTTAAACCTTGACTAAGATCACTTTTTGATACTTCAGACCCCGCCCTCTAAGGACCTGTCCGAGCACAACTCCATAAGGCATGCATTTTATTTGAAAATAAAGATAAGCATATGCTTGTGCTTCGTCATGCTTCGACCTTAAAATCCTCCAACGCTCCTTCGTTGTAATCTTTCTTCACTTCGTAGACTTTAATAAATTCTTTAAACTGAAAAGCTCGATAGAGTGGTTGATTAGAGTCGTTAACGAGAACTTTAGCGGGCTCTATGATGCTGTCAGGCTTTGGATTGATGGAGTAGACAATTGATGTTCGATGATCTGTCGAATTTGTTATCGCTCTATGTTCTGGACTTGTCAGCTTTCCGTTACTGATAACCTACATTATAGTCGAAAATTCAGACAAATATCGACCAAAGGTTATACGGAAACGATCGATAATGTAGCGTAAATACATGGGCTTGATGACCAAGGATAACCACAAAGGCATTGGAAATGGGCTCAACACCAACCCATTCTCCATTTCTATAAACTTGAAGCCCATATATTTCATCTTGGAGAAGAAAAGTGATGAGATTGGCATCACAATGCTTAGGCAAACCCAAGGCCAAACTTGGGCTTGGGCATGGTGGGTAATGATTGGCTGAAAACAATTGGGCCCCAGTAAGCCCATCCCCAAAATATCTGTGCCCAAGCCCAAGTCCTTCACATATTATCTCCAATATCCTTGATGACAACTTGTCTACTTCAAGCGAATATCTCCCTACAATATCTCTTCAAAAATAATTGGGATTTGTTAAAATAATCTTAAATTTAATTAGTTTAATATAACAAAAATAAAGTGTCGTACTGACTATTTTATACAATACTATTTGAAAAATTATCCTATAGACGCAGTTGTTCTTTAAAAAGATGTGTTTATAGGACACTTCTTAAAAGTGTTTTACAAAATAGCTAATAGGACAAACTTTATTCTATAAGTGTTCTAAAAAGGCTTTTTAAAACGCCTAAAAACATCTTATAAATATATTGTAACGATTTTAGATAGAACATTTTATAGTCTGGTCCAATAAACCTAAGTTCTATAAAGTATTGGATTAAGACGCTTAGCGTCCTATAAAGCCAATTATGTTGTAGTGTAATTTACCGATATCTAGCGGGCTTTTCAGGCCACAAGTGAATGAAGTCGTTGATGGGATGACAATGGTGTCGTAGATTATCTCGCCATAAATGAATCTCTTTGTTCTCGTAGTCATAAGTGCTAGTGTAGAGCCTACACTTTTTACTCGGATCTTCCGAGTAAACACTTGCTTTGTCCTCGTTCGACATGTCGAAAAACTCCTTAACAACCCGCATCGTGTCGCTCACCAGATCGTCATCTATTCCGTGGTTGATAACCTGATTTTAAATTTTACACAAACACTTGGTCAACATTTCAAGAAAACAATAGTTGTGTTTGTTCTGTTGTTCAAATGGTTGAATCTGTTCACGGGAAACAAGAGATCTTGAGTCCAAATTCGCACCAGGGCGTGTTTCAACCCGTTGGGTTTGGTTTCATGGGGTTTGAAAGAAAATAATTACAAAAAACCTGAAAGAATCCAAAATCTTGACAAGCTTCAAGAATTTGTTGAACTGCATTTTGTCGATCACGAGAAAGTGTTGTCTCGAGGTCGATCACGGGAAGAGTGTTGCAGATGGGGACCGCTGCATCTCCGGGTCTTGAATCGACCGGAAAAACGTAATTTTCCGGCAAGGATTCGACGGTGGCAGACCAACTTGAGAGGAGCTTGTCCATGGCTCTTCTGAATGATATAATCTATTTGTCTACAACTTCTTCTTTAAAATGACTATCGTTAAATCAGTACCATTTTTTTGTAAATTTTTATATTTTTTATTTTTTTAACTATATAATTATTTATATATATATATATATATATATATATATATTTATTTATTTAATGTCAGAAACAGATATTTAAAGGTAAGTTGTATGGAAAATGTTTACACAAAAGGACAAATAACGTTGACTCCTCGTAGACTCACCCAATATAAATAATAGAGTAAATTACGTTTTAAGTCCTTCTGGTTTGTTGAATTTTTTGTCCTTATGATTTTGAAATTTATTATTATTTTCGTTAAAAATGATTTAAAATTTATTGTTTTTTAAGTTCTATTTCTATTTTACTTCTTTATACTTAAAAGTTAAAAGTGATGTTTTGGTTTCATGGATGAAAATAGAAATAAATTACAAATAATAGGGACAAAAATTGTAATTTTAAAACTACAGGGACAAAATCTCTAATTTTTAACAAACAATAGGACCAAAAACGTAATTTGCTCTAAATAAAAGGACCTAATGAAATAAAAACAATTTATTATTTTTAATAAATATATATACCAACTATCATCACATAAAAAATATGTATATAAAATCTACAAGTAACCGAAAGGATTGTGCTATTATAAGATTATCAGAAATAGAATCTTTAAAACGAAGAAAATAGAGATTTAAGATTTTAAATAACTTTTTGATTTAGAGGTAGGGATGGTAATAGGGCGGGGATGGGGCGGGGACCCCAATACCCGTCCCCGTCCCCGCCGGGGATTATGATCACATCCCCATCCCCGTCCCCAACGGGGAACGGGGATCCCCAACGGGGAAACGGGTAAAAGTTCATGCTCTAGTTAAGGTAAAAATTAGTTCACAAATCAAGCCAACTTCCTTAGCAACAAAACACATGAATCAAGCTCATCAGATCTGCTCACAGGAATCCCCGCACAAAACCCTATTTTTTTTTTTTAAATATCCATAGCTACCTTCACCCACAAGTTTCAAAATACGTACAAAGCTTACAAACCAAGCAGTTTTTTAATTCTCTGATAATGATTCAAGAAAACAAAAGGTGAAAGGAACTCATCGTTAATGATATTGAAAAAACCAGAGATGTAAATGATGGGTTGAACTACAATTTGATTTCTCAGATTTTTCAAGATCTACAAGAAGAGGTGGATCTTAAACCTAATTTGATGACTGGTTTCTCGTTGAATTCTCAATTGCCATATAACAGGGGGTTGAGTTCTTCCATGGCTATGGCTTCTGATAATTTGGGCCATCAATCTAAAATGGGTTCAAGTCTTTTGAGACAAAATATCTCCCCTGCTGATTATTCTCTAATCTCAATCACCCAAATGGTACTGTTAAATGTTCTTCATCCCTTCTTACTTCTTTCTTCCATTAATTTCTGGGTATGTTCTGAAATCGTATATTAGACACTCGTATCGTACATGAGGCCAGGAGGGAGGATGTTGGATGCGGGAAGGAAAAGGAAATCGTGGACTGGACTGGAGAATTAGGAAGGAGAAGACGCATTACATTTACATTTCACTACCCAAAAGCCCAAGCCATATATATATATAACGGGTACGGGGCGGGGCGGGGAGTGCTATACCCGTCCCCGGCCCCATCCCCGGCTTGCGCCAAGCGGGGATCCCCGTCCCCGTCCCCGGGACCCGATTTTTCGGGGAATCCCCGTCCCCGACCGGGGCGGGTGGACCGGGTTACCCGACGGGTCGGGGTCCATTCCCATCCCTATTTAGAGGGTGTTTGAGATTGTTTATAAAAATAATTTATTGAATTATTTTGGTGTGACACCGACAATAAGCATTTTTGAGTGTTTGGATAAACAACTTATACCGGTGTCAAACCGATAATAAAAAGTTTTTGAAGAAATTAAACCCTTCTGACTTATAATAAGTTGATAAGTGTTTTTTATAGATAAGCATAAGTTGTTTCAAATAAACAATCCCAAACACCTCCTTCACAATTTTTCTTCAAAATGGAGAAAGAATGAGAGAGACTGTGAAATTATCCAAATCTAAAAAACTCAGAAAATGATTATACAGAGAGAATAATTTTTAATTATATTCTCAGTAATAAGAAACTTTGAAATTAAATTTTTATGATAGACAAATGGTATTTTATTATAAATATATGAAATATTATAGTAATACAATCAATCTTGTAATATCTAAAATGAAAAACTGTTTGAGTTCTTTCATATTTTTTTAATATGGGTCATCTCTTCTGGTTGCATCATCCATACCCAAATAAGCAAAAAGAATGTGATTGAAGTACACGGAAAAGAAATCGATAGAACCTAGCCTTTTTTAGTGAAATGCTCAATGCTTACGGTAAAAATGGCTCTGTAAAACCATAAGGGTGGTGCCTGATTGGTTTGAGCTTTTCTCCAAAGATCAAAAGCACCAGGAGGAATAAAAATCCCCTTGTGGTCACGAAGGTTCAAATGCGGTGACTCCGGACTATCTGCAAAGCAGGTGGTCGTCCTGGGATTAGTCGGCTTGCATAGCAGGTTGGATATCCAGGTTAATATAAAAAAAAGGCTCTGTAACGCCTTTAATTTCTCATGGGACGAAACGTTTATGAGAATTTAGATCATATCAAACACACTGAAATCCATCTAAACTAAATGAAATCAATCATAACGTAGCAGAATCCATCTTTCACAAGATGCCATCAAGATGGTGTCGAGAATATATTTGAACATACTTTATAATGAGTTCCGGGAGTATTTTCAGGAGTATATAAAAGGCAAACATAATTTCTAAATACTGTTAACATTGAGTATTTTTTTTTATTTGAGACAATATTAAGCGAGTAAGGTTTATTTTGAAAAAGGTTTTTTATACGCGTTTGTGTTTTGTGTTTTACATCAAATACCGTAAACCCACAAAATAAAATTATTAAACATGTTTATTTAACATATTCAACCCTTAATCTTAAACACTTCCAACGTAGCGTCACTCTCTTTTCCCTGTATTCAATCCCCTTTCCTCACAGAAATCATATCGTTCCATCTTGAATTTTTTTGAAAACTGAATAACATGATTTCATCAGTGAAATTGATTTCATGGGTCATATTCAAAATGAAATTTGATTTATTAATGAAACTAAATGTGATTCAGTCAATAGAACATTTTTTGAAAATTGAATAACATGATTTCGTTAGTTAAATTGGTTTCATTAGTGAAATTGATTTCATTAATGAAACATTTTGAAAACTGGATGACATTATTTCATTAGTGAAATTGGTTTCATGGTTCATAACCGAAATAAAATTGAGTTTGTTAATGAAACTAAATATGATTCAGTCAATAGAACATTTTGAAAACTGAGTAATATTATTTCATTCATGAAATTGCTTTCATGATTCATAACCAAATTGAAATTAGTTTCATGAATGGTACATTTTGAAAACTGGATAACATAATTTCATTCATGAAATTTATAAGGAATAATTTATTTATGAATTTTACAAATGAAACAAAACAATATAATCAAAATTTGGAAAATATCACATATATTATTAATAAATCTGAAAAGAATTGTAAATTGAAAAAAAAAAAACCGATTTTTTTTGTTATTATGAAAATGAAATAAATAAAATCCTAAAAAATTGATTATAAATAAACTCTCATTTTTATTTAATAAAAGGATACAAAAAATTAATGGTAGTAAGTATCCACTAAAAACAAATTGATTCATCGTTTCCTAAAAACTTTAATATATCTAATATTACAGATTTAGACACAATTAAAACATCACCAAAATTATCTGTTATAAAGTCAAATGACAATCATACCCTTATGCATTTAAAATAAAGAAAAAAAATGGAATTATGCTAGTTTGTATGAAAATGGATGGTTTGCTAGTTTAAGAGGCTCGTTTTATTAAATTTATTTTTCCAAATTTTTTTTGAAACATATCATATAAAACTTATTGCAACGCTTTAACATAAGACATATAATTGTTTTGGTCCTGTAAATTGATGAATTACAGTCTATTATGACACAAAGACATTTTTTACGTTCTATAAATATGATTTCCTTATAATGACGATATTTTTCTCAGTACAAATCAAATCACCATTTCATCAAGGTATCAGACAACAGATTGCTGATTTTAACGTACAAAAGATATAAGTTTATGTAAATTGGAAAGGAATAACCGAGCAACACACATGTTCTTAACCAATCAAACATCTTTAATCCTTGATCTTAAACACTCCAAGGGTAGCTTCACCCTCGCCTCGATGTTCAAGGAATGCATGATGAAAGTCTTCRTAAGTAAAGGCTCGAAAMAKAGGGCGRGAATCATCTTTCTCAAGGAGCTCCTTTGCGGGTTCAATGACAGCATCGTTACGAGGGTTGATGAAGGTGGCAATGGTGTACCTTGGGTGTTCTGAGTTTGTCACAGCTCTGTGCTCTGCACTTTCAAACTTTCCRTTACTGATAACCTGAAATTATTTCAAAATCAGTGTACTTGTTCAAATTCAGTGACCTTACTTAAGATTACTCATAAATGGACCACTTTATTCCAAATATTTTAAACAGTTCTAAACAACAAATACTCTGAACAGAGCTAAACACTATGACATAACCGGGTTTATATCACGTCAAAAAACTTAAAAGCTTATTAAGACACCCAAAAACGTCCTATAAATTCATTGCGTAGCTTTTACATAAGATGCGACATTCTTTGATTCCATAAATTTAAATCTTATAAATCAGTTTATTAAGACATTTATGTATTTCCGGCGTTCAATGATATTGTTGGCGTCATATAAACTCAATGTTGCGATAGTAAAAGCAACCAACTTTGAGCGAGTTAGGATTCATGTACCTTGAGTTGTTGACCAATGTTGACCACAAAAGCATTAGGAAATGGTTCGACCCCAAACCATTGTCCATCCTTCAATACTTGAAGCCCACTCATATTTCCTTGATAAAGGGTCGTTATGATATTAGGGTCACRATGTTTTGATATTCCTAAAGCCAAACTTGGGTCGGGGCATGGTGGATAGTGGT